TGGTCGAACAAACAAAACCCTAACCCTAACCCAACCCTAACCCTAACCCTTACACATCTTGGGGAGAACACGGGGGATACATGTAGTTGGCGAACACTTATGGCTAAAAGTTTAGGTCCGAACTCTTTGCTGTTTCTGAGAAATAAGAAAAAAAGCATATTTTTATATAAATTCACAATTTTTGCCGTCACATACTTACCGATGAAGTTTTTATGATTATTTTCATTGAGAGCGTAGAGAGACATCTCTTTTATGAAATAGTTATGAGTTTGATTGAATTTGATGAGCAGTTAAGCCCTGCTCAGGTCACTCTACGATTTGACTATCGGCAACTACTTTATCGCCGATTAGCAGCGTAGCAACACTCACGTCAACTTGAAGTGACTTCACGCTGTACATCGCCGATCCGAACGTAGCGTTCTGCAGGAAACGTAGTCGGGTTTGCGCCCCAGTATTTGTACTAGCACAAGCAGTTCTTTAGCACAAACAGACCAAGCTTGACGCCAGGACCAGTCTACATAAAACGAGTCACATGACCAACAAAACGGCGCTTACCAGTAAACATCAGGTAACTTCGTAAATCTATCCTCAATTTTCTGAAAATCGTTATAATCATGTACAGAAAAATAATTTAAAAAATTGCCTGTGATATACGGAAAACTTAATATATATTTGAGAAAGGGTTTGTGCAATAATCCCTCCTTGTAAACTGCTGTGTAGGCTGCCATTTTGTTAATCACGTGACTTTTGATAATCATGTAACTCTACAGCGGTGATTTGTCGCCGACCGCCGCATAGAAATAGAACCGTTTCTATTCCTGCGATCGCAGTCGGCGACCGTATTTTCGATCATAAGAGAACTCATGTCGAGTTTAGTTGCCAATGTTTTTATCGGCGATCTGGCTGGTTTTTGAAGTACAATCTTCAAATTTTGTTGGCGACTAGGTCGTAAGGGCGACCTGAGTTAGCTTTTAAGTTGCAATGCCCGTTAGAGAGGTACTTGTCCGTAACCCTGACTGTATCCTTAAATTTAGCAACATTAATTTTAATAAATATTGGTCATCACTGAAATTCAATGTAATACTTGTCACATAATTTATAATGATTTTTTTCTTTTCAGTCTATGCTCAGCAGTATTATAAAAATCTATCTACAAAATTGACTTTCAATTTCACATCTGATTACAGTATTTATAAACTGTGTACTTGTAGGGTTATTCCCTGACGTGGGAGGCGGACACTTCTTACCACGTTTGGGAGGAAAACTTGGCCTCTATCTGGCACTCACTGGGTACAGGTTGAAGGGCATCGACGTACAGAAGGCAGGCGTGGCAACACACTTTGTTGAAGCTAAAATGGTATTGTAACTGCATTGTTTTCTATTTCTCCATGCAGCAGTCCCACAGAAACTCATTGTTACATAATGGCACTGTAATGTGTTAAGATGATGAGCTTTTACTATTGTGTTGTGATAGTTTGTTCACATCATTATATGAAATATAGTTTCTTTACGAATTAGAAGAAAGGTAAAGTGATGGATGTTTCTTTATCTTTTATCGATATATTATGTCTTATCAATCCATTTATGCTATGGAATAGTTGCCAAGAATTTGTGGACTGTCTCAGTAACCACTAAAATAGTTACTCTTATTATGTCTAGCTGGACAGTCTAGAGAAAGAACTACTTGACCTAGATGATCCTGGTGCAACTGATATCAGCAAGGTCTTGGACCACTACCACGACCAGGTAAGCTGTCCAAGACTTACTGTCACTGAGTGGGATGTGTCATGTATTGTACACGTGTGCATTAATGAGTTGACATATTATATTTGTCATTGGTCTAAGACAGAAAGAAGTTATTACCTTGGACCCTTGACCTCAGTTTTTCTATGGAAGATGGCTTCATGGGGTGTGAAACACTGTGTGAACACTGTCAATAAAGTCATTTAGATTTGTTGTGTTATTGTTGATCCACACTGCACATCAGCACACATGGATGCTGCTGAGGTCATAGGCCAAGTTTGATCTGACCAGGTCAGAGGAACTCATATTTGCTTGAGCACCAAGACTTTATTTACTGTGTCAGTATAAACGTGAACCTGTTGTATGTGTTAGTAATATGCACAGGTTCAGGGTATTGTAATAGTATTGGTATAGCTATTATAAGCCAAAGACAGGCATTTCCATGGAGCGGTGTCAAGCTCTTTATTAGCATTCAAAGATGGATATACATGGAATGCTTTCCAGCCCATGTGATCACCGGTTTACGCCTCGCACTATATTGTGGCGTATCACTACGCTAGTGCTTGTGAACGCATATCACCACAGGTATAAGCGATACATGGCTTAGTATTGTTCCTGTGTGAATATATATGTGTGTTAGTATAGTGTGCAGCTTTAAGGTACAAGCAATATACAAGTATTTTTGCTGCGTGGATATATGTATGTGTGTTAGAAATATGCACATATGTATGTGAAGCCCATACTGGCAATGTCTTACAGAGCAAGTTGGATGCTGAGAAAGAGTTTCATCTGCAGCCCCACATGGAAAAGATCAACACGCTGTTTGCAGGAGACAGCATGGAGCAGATATTTGCTGATTTGGAAGCAGATGGCTCTGAATGGTCCCTGGCGCAGCTAGCCATTCTGAAGAAGATGGTACATTTATTTTCTTTAGGTTATCATTTTCATCTGTAAAAATTGAATTTTTATTTATTCACAAAAATTTAATGTCTCCATTTCTCAGATTGGACAGAGAACATGCGAACAAGGTACCAGCATTTTTTGTCTTCACGATTATGTATAGACGTACAGTTGTCTTGATGGTCATTGTTGATTTTATCTGTCAACAGTCACCATTATCAATGAAGGTAGCATTCCGACAGCTTAGTGAAGGTGCAACGAAGAGCTTGCAAGCAGAACTAGAGACAGAGTTCAGGATTGGAAAGCACATGTTGAGAAATGATGACTTTCACGAAGGTGTCCGTGCTGGTATGTGCGTACAGGAGCAAGTCTTTACCGGATCTTATTGTTACATCACAACCTACATAATTAACATGGGGAATAATGTCCTGAATGGTAACAAATGGTTACGTAGTTTGTCATTATCGCTTTGGGTCTGTAAATCACTAGATAATTAAACTATAATCAATATTGAAATTGGTGAACAACATCTAGAAAACTCCCGGGAAGGCTTTTATGTTTTAAAAAAATCACAGGAATTAGAGAAACAATATCTCACGTGGTTTCGCTGATTGTAAATGATGTCATGATAATAAAAATAAGATTTAATCCATACGGGGCCTCCTTATTAATATACTTCCCAGGCACTGACACTATGTATACTGCAAAGATAGTGAGATAGTGTGTCCTTGTATTGAGTGTACATAAACTTGGGTTTAAAGGTCTAGATATCGAGGTCATGCCATGAACATTGCTGTTGTATCCTTGAACAAGTGGTGTTCATCATTGGCTAATCACAATTGTTTGCTATTCCTGCAGTTCTGGTTGACAAAGACAATAAACCAAAGTGGCAGCACTCGTGCTTGGAAGCAGTCTCGCCAGAAACAGTTGCCAAATTCTTCGCACCTCTACCAGAGGCAGAGGAACTAATGCTGTAGATGCGACAGGAACCATGCTTCCTTTATTTCTACTTAGTTGACATCCAAGGAAAACTTACATAAAATGTAAAATATGGTGTTTTTGTTGATTAAATGTTATCTGTATACCTTATTCTAATTATAAATCCAATTTTATTGCAACATCAGATCTCTGTTCCACTAGGGAGGTAATTGAGGTATCATGTCTATTATTTAATTAGTATGCAATTAAAATAGGGACAAATTATTTTAGTTTCTCAAAACTGTAGCCACGCATACTGTATCAGCAAACAAGTTCATCCCCATGCTATGAACTTTATCCTGGTAGCGTTTTTGTGTTTATGTTCAGTTGCAAAGTATCAATTTGATTCACCTATACATAGCATTTGTACAGAGCATCTGGAAGGATTAGGCTGGCTAACTGAAAACATACCACCCCCTGACAGCGCAATTCTGCTCCGTGTGTGCACAGCGTGCCAAAGACCTTTGACCAATATCACACTCAACGAACTTCTGTACTTGTATTTTGGTTACATTGTACAGCAAGCATAGTGAGCAGAGAACGGGTGCAGATGAAACGAGACTTCCAAATGTGATATATGTCCAGTATTCGTAATCGCTCGGAGAATAACGTTTTTGAAATATGTCAGTGACAGGCTTTCCTAAATACAGTCAAACCTGTGTTAGTTAGTGGCTGCATTTATAGAAAAGCCATCTATCAATAAAGGACTATTTTGCCATTTTTCTTTAGAATCCACTGTATATAGACTCGATTGTACATACAACTATGTGTTTTTATGTACTCAGTTTAGTAAGGTTAGTAAGAACTATGCAAGAAATTATGTAAATGTTCTTGGCATGAAGACAAACGTCGTGGAGTTGAATTTTAGAAGCATAGGGAAATGTGCATATAAAAGCTATGCTTATAAACCAGGGCCATTAAAACAAAGTAATTCATTAACAGACAGGTAGCTCAGACTATACATGAATGTAGAAACAGCATATTCTATCTAGGTATACCACATCATGTGAGGCCAACATAACATTTATTATTTTGATATGGAATACTAGTGGTGTGTGCTTGTTAACCAGTCTTTGTGTGTACAGCCGCCAACAACAACATGCAAAATGATAGACTATTATTCTGTCTGTAACATCAAAGATATTTCAAAAAGCTGCTCTTAATGTTAAAAGTTGCTTTAATTCATTCTGGAAAACTCCACAGATGACTATAAGGATAGATTTTAAGCGTGACAAGATAACCAAAGTATACCCCGTGTATTTTGCAACTAATATAAAACCAACTTCAGCTCTATTAAAGGCTTGTAATTTCCAAAACGCTGGCTACTATTTCAGTCGAGTGTGTCACACTTTATATAACAACATACAAGATAATATCATATAACGCATTTACTCGCACGCATGTGTAACATGTACACAGGCCTCTTAAATGTGTACCTAACATGGTACGTATTTATATATTACAAACACTCCCTATACCGAAATGCATTATGTAACAGCAAGATGTGCAGGCATTATAGTGCTAAATTGCGCTCTAATCCAAGCTTTACATACACATCTGCATTGGGACGTGTATGCGAAATTACAAACTTATGGCATTTCATGTCAGTAGCATCTTCGATTTATAAGGTAAATCCATGGTGGGATTAAGTAGTAGTGCAAAAATGCTCGATACTGGCTAGCTTGGGACAGTATATCACGTTGCATATTTTTAAGTGAATACTGAACCAAGTCAGATAATTGGTTAAAATACCATTTATTAAACAAAGACATGTTTGCAAATCTATCCCACTTATGTAGGCTTACTAAAATTGTTTTCGATCGCTGCATCGGAGAACCAATCTAAGCAACCATGTTTTGCCTTGTCATTATTCTGTGCAAAACAACATTTTTAGTTATCTAAATGCTGACAGGAGTAATCATTTTGAAACCATGGGTTATAATAGAAATGGGGAAAATTCCACTCCCGCTCTGCACAAAAATTGTAATAAAATTACTGTCCGTCGATCCATTCCCCCACTTCAAATGATAAAATTATCAAATTAAGTTTTCACCCAGATTTAACAATTTCTTGGAAATATTCAGGATAGCTAATAAAATATCACACCCACTGTCCTGAAAGTATTAATTTAGACCACTATGCATTTAAAAGATAACTACTACGAACTACGAGGAAAGAGTTACAAACACAGAATTTCCCTGTGTAATTATAGTGTGGCAGTTGTATCAAGTGAACTTATTTTTTTATTCAAGATTTGCAGATACTGCTATATAATTTCATCATAACCTATACATGTGAAGTAATTCTAAATTAACAAAACATAATCACGTGTCTTTATAAATACACACTATTATTCGATACATAGCATTCATACTCGCTTTATCGATGGACATGCTTTACACATTGGTTCACACTGCGAACCATCTCCACGGAAGTATGCTTGTTTCACTTGTAAAAGAATTAAGGGGTCACTGCTGCATTTAGGGTTCACCTGTGAGGTCACAAAAGATTTGAAATCAAAACTCCAGACAGTTGGATGCTGTGGGAACCACCAAACGTTCCAATCTCATCAAACACGTATAATTGTGACCAAGCTGAGCACATGATTCTAATCACTTATTTTTTCAGAAAACTAAAAATTAATTAGAAGCATCTGCACATATCTCAGTTTGCTCTACTAACTTTGCTAAAAATAAATACAATGATCTACAAAACCCTAGCTCTACCGGTATAGCAACAGGAGCGAGGGGAAACAAAGGGGCTACACCGGTGAAGCTAACAAAACCTGATCACTTTTCTCGGAACCGCGACCCACTAGTCACGATTGCAACCTAGTCACAGTTGCGACCAAGTAGCCTTGATAAGCATCGAAGCATGCTCAAGCACATATAACGAATCATCTAACAGACTGCTGCTGCTGCTGCTGCTGTTGCGCAACGTCCTCTTCCCTGCGACTTCTCCACAGCGCGAACAAGCTGAGGCCGAACAGCGCCGTGATGCCGACGAGCGTTAGCGTCGACGTCATGTTGAAGTACTGCTTGTGCTTCAGGCGCAGGTACCAGACGACGGCGAGCACGACGCCGAACAGCGGGAACATGAGGTGGCCGACGTCGAGCTCGGCCTCGGCGTCATCGCGCAGCGGCCGCTCGTCACGCGCGGGCTGCGTCAGCAACACGTGCAGCACACCGTTGTCGCCGATGCCGTACGCACGCAGCGAGCGCGCGCCGTTCTCCAGCATCTGCCCGTTCGAGATGAAGCGAACGCGGTGGCCCGCCGACAGCTCCTCTTCGAAGTGCGTGCTGTAGTGTAGGCAAGGAACAATGAGAGACGAGAGAGAGCGCTGGGGCGACGGCGACGAAAACATCGCTGGGGGGGGGTGGCATTCGACAGCTGATACGACCTGCGATCTAGTCATGCTTTTCGGGCAACGCAATTCGGCGCCAGTTCTAGCCAATCAGTGCTGCGAATGGTCGTTCTAAAAAACAATGCTTGGTGACAAAGCACTATAATAATGTCATTTTGGTACAGATTGAACTGGGTGATCCTAGCAACAATGTTCAAACTGTATGACCTTGACCTACCTAGCAACAATGTTCAAACTGTATGACTTTGACCTACCTAGCAACAATGTTCAAACTGTATGACCTTGACCTACCTAGCAAAAATGTTCAAACTGTATGACCTTGACCTACCTAGCAACAATGTTCAAACTGTATGACTTTGACCTACCTAGCAACAATGTTCAAACTTTATGACCTTGACCTACCTAACAACAACATTCAAACTTTATGACCTTGACCTACCTAGCAACAATGTTCAAACTGTATCACTTTTACCTACCTAGCAACAACGTTCAAACTTTATGACTTTTACCTACCTAGCAACAATGTTCAAACTGTATGACCTTGACCTATCTAGCAACAATGTTCAAACTGTATATGACTTTGACCTACCTAGCAACAATGTTCACACTGTATGACCTTGATCTACCTAGCAACAACGTTCAAACTGTATGACCTTGTTAAAAGACGTACACTTATTTGGCTGTTGGATTTTCTATAGGTAATTAACTGTCCACACTCATTAATTATCAGTATACACTCATTCTCCTCGTGGCAATAGTAGCATATAATATTGATGGTAACAATAAATTTCTTCCAGCAACACCTGTGCTAGTCATTTAGTCAGGAAAAATAAGCGTTACAATATGAATGTACAATGAACATAACAATAGTTGTAAATGTATTGTTTGTTGTGCTTACCTTCTAAACTCTTCTATCGTGTCAGTACCCTGTGCCTGTACGATGCGCTCTGACTCGTTAAGGTATTTTAGTCGCACCCTTATTTCTGATCGCGTCACTTGCTGTTGACTAGAGGATGCCTCTTTAATTTCATTACATTCACTCGGGTTCCTAGGGCTAGGGTTAGAGAGCTCATCTATATCATCAGCTTGATTGCCATCTCTGGCATCTGACATGTGTACATCTTGGGTACTTGTACTCGTTGACACCTTCCTAGCAGTGGAACTGGAATCGGTGCCTGCAGCTTCAGTATCAAGCTCAGCATCATCACCATGGCAACCTGTCTGTGATTGGCCAGCACCTTCAGCCTCATCACCAATCACATAGTCGTCGTCGTGGCAACGTGTCCGTGCTTGTCCCCCGCCGTCAGTAACGGGTGCGACCGTTTCTGTGGCATCGCGTGGTGCTGCATCAGTGCCATCCTGCCTGCTCTCCTCGCGCTCTTTGCAGTCTGCTTGCTGGCCTTCAACAGTGTTCCTCCTGGTTTCCGACGCGGAAGTGGCCGCATCGGCGCTCTGACTAGAAGCTGGAGGCACCTGCGTCAAGTCGGCTAGCGATGACGTAGAGATTTCGGCAGCCACGACTCTTTCTGCCTGCTGCGACTGCCGCCTGTACTGCACTATTATTATTGATCGCCATGGATAGTCCCTCACCGACGTGGAGAACCAAGCGACGACAAGCACAGCGATTCCCAAGACGGCTGACAGGACGATGACAACCTCATCACCGAAGCCTTCGACCAGAGGCATTTTCTCCGTGTTGGATCAATTAGCTGCTCTTGCAAGCGCGTGTAAATGCGATAACACCATTGTGTCACGGTGCCTAAAGTATAAGAGCGGTGCATAAAATATTATATTCACATCAGTATACACTTTCTCTCTCTCTCTGGATGTGTGTGTAAGTGTGTGTGTGTGTGTGTGTGTGTGTGTGTGTGTGTGCACTTGTGCGTGCGTGTGTGCGTGTGTGTGTGCACTTGTGCGTGCGTGCGTGCGTGTTTGCGCGATTGCCTGTGTGCGTGTGTGTGCGCGTGTGTGTTTGTGTGCGGGTGCGTGTGCGAGTGTGTGACAGTTTGTGCCTGGTTAGATACAATAATATAACCCAACAAGAGTAGTAGGCCTGTACCGTAGTATTTGGACGCTCGCCCGAAACTGGAAGCTCCTAAGTGCGCATGCGTGCAGGCGCTTATTGTTTTGCAAGGGCGCACAGAGCACAAGCGCAGTATGCACAGTAGTCATCTGCGCATCTTGCCCATCGAAACGGTCGCAATAAACAAACATGGCGGACTTCCCGGTCACTGATGCCGATGGAAACATTTGATTGAAACAATTTGAAACATGTAGTAAATTCGTAAGACTGTGTTATGTGTGTCAGGTTACAAGGCGAAACAAAAAGAAAACAAAAGAGCATGGCTACTATTTCCTACGGCCGTGCAAAACAAGTGTCAAGATTCAAACAAAAAGAAAACAAGAGCAAAACAAAAGACGTAAAGAGCATGCCTACGGAGCGTCCAAATACTACGAGCGTCCAAATACTACGGTACAGGCCTACAATAATGTAACCCTACTCTTGTTGGGTTATACTGTATCTAGTCAGACTAGTGAGTAGTGGCAGTGACGGTGACGGTGTAGTGGCAGTGCCAGTGCCTGGTATGTTGCTAGAAACGAATCAAATGTGAAGTTGCTGACTATGAATGATTCATTTTAACACAAGCTACTGCACACAGTAGATATACTGAATTTAAAGCATTAACTTGCTGCTACATTACATACAAATAATGTTTCGTAAATAACGTTCGAACCTCTAGGCTCTACTGCAAATCTCCAGCGACGACATACAACACAACCGGAACTCCCTACGGCAACGTGTGCTGGCATCTGGTGGTAGTATTACGAACTTCCGCCTGGAGAACCCGTGCCAGTGGTCTGCCCGAAGATTGACATTCAACATGTTTTCGTACGGCTCTAAACGATTATCTAACCTGATTGTGAATGGAATTAAACGTTTTAATAGTACACTAGTAATTGCTGAACATGATAATGCCAATCTTTCAGGTAACTAAGCGTTAGTTTTTGATTTATACTTTATAGTAATACACTAGGCCTACAGTATTAGTATTACTGACACTGTGTCTGTGGGCCAAAGTTGAAAGTGGTCCCAACTCCAACTAAGGCAAGTAAGGCAACTTACCAAGGCTAAGTTATCCAAAGTGGGCCAAAGTTATACGGTACCTTTAAAGAATAGGAAACCAGTCAAACCAAGGAGATAAGCCTAGGATAATCAGAGTGACTCTAAAAGAAATTAGCAGTAAATGGGAAATATTGAGGAAAGCTAAGCAATTCACCAGTGACTGGCAATTCACCAATTCGGCCAGTGACAGTGACCCTTCACTTAGGTCCACATATATTGGAGCGGATCTTACGAAAGAACATGGGGCCGTTGTCAGAAACAAAATTAGTCGCAACATTAGTCTTACCATTAACTTCCACTCGTAAACCGTTGACAGAAACATCGTAATGTTACGAGAACGAAAAATCCTCGCAAATATCCTCATAACAATATTAACATTACTACGAGAGCCCATACCCTCTCGTAACATTAATATTAAGATGAAAATAACACATTTAGACTAAGAATTACAATTTTAGTGATAATGATATAATATTTGGCAGTGTCTAAACGACCGGACCCGGTTTCGGAGTTCTGAAAGCTAAACGACCGGCTCTCTTCTCTGATTGGTCAGTTTCTGAACATAACAGGACAAATATACAATACTGTCAATAGGACAATTTTTAATGCAAAACATAAAGAAATATATTTAATTCCGAACATAAACAAACGTTACAGAACAAATACTAAATAGATGCAGAAACAAATAAAATACAAAGAAATATAGAAATCAGAGGCAATTAAAAACACCTTATGGGGTTCAAACACGGTACTGTACTATAACGAAGCGAACGCTCTACCATTGAGCCATTCAGACCAACTTGAAAGTTTCGGATATAGACCCAAACCCTAACCCTAACCCAAACCCTAACCCTAATCCTAACCCTAATCCTAACCCTAACCCTAACCATAATTATAAAATAAAATAAAATTAGCCAAAAATAATTTAAAAAAAATTAAATAAGTGACAAAATTAGCCAATCAGAGAGAGAGCCGGTTGTTTAGTTTTCAGGGCTCCGAAACCGGATCCGGTTGTTTAGACACTTCCATAATATTTTATATTAATGAGTAATATCATGTGTTTTTCTTGAAAAACACGTCAAAAACATTAATTATCTACCGAACGTAAACCAAAACAATACATTTACAAATGGCGTATGGCATTTGTTCTCTTGTTTGAAATGCTTGCCACGCTTGCCACGACTCTCGCGTCTCGCGTTAAAGCGTTACAGCGTGAGATTTTGCCTTGTGCAGAATAAATTCATGACCGCGTCGTTTTTCAGCAAATATTATTTGTATGTGGTTAGCCATCATAATATCAGGAGTCTATCAATATTGATAGACTCCTGATAATATGCATAAATTACTGTGATGTACAATAAATGTTTATGAATTTGAATTTTGTGATCGATTCTCATCCAATCAGCAGCCTTGTGACATGAACTTATGAAGTTCCTGTTATCGTGAGTTTGCTCGTAGCTACGATGTGTTTCTGTCAACGCTACTCTCGTAGCATTAACATTAGTCGTAAGTGTTATCGTAGCATTAACATTAGTCGTAAGTGTTATCGTAGCATTAACATTAGTCGTAAGTGTTATCGTAGCATTAACATTAGCATTAACTTTACGATGTTTCTGGCAACGGTCCCCTGAGTAGGGAATATGAGCTCCGGACGGAGCTTAAGCGAAGACGGGCTCTGGGAGAAGACCTTGTCATCATCAAGGGAGTAATTGTGCCCAGAGGGGCAAAAAACTAAGGACCGATGTAAATAAGGAGCTTTTAATCTCACCAGTTTCAAATGTTACGTTTCCTGAGTTCCATGCTGAGTTAGCAACACAAGTTATTGCACCTGCACAGCCGACTCCGAAGACTTTTAAATGTTTGTTTACTAATGCTAGAAGTTTGGTTAAGAAAATGTGTGAACTTGAAGCACTTGTATGACCGAGACATTGGTATTGTAGAAACCTGGGGTAGGGACAATGTAGCTGAGACAGTGTTTACAATACCAGGCTATATGATGTATCGTAGGGATAGGAGTGATACCACGGGTGGAGGTATTGCAGTGTATTGTCGCGACTGTTACCAGACCATAACTAGGCCTGACTTATCAAATCGTGGTTACGAGGAGAGCTTGTGGATTGAGTTTGTATTCCCCAAGTCCAGACTGCTCATTGGGACGGTGTATAGACCCCACTGTATTGACGAGAACGATGAAAAGTTTGATGCCTTACTGAGAAGGGCATACTCAGAGGGCAAACCCATGTGGGTAATGGGAGACTTTAATTACAGCACTATTGACTGGATTACCCTGGATGCTGATACGCGTGGTATAAAATTCATGGACTTGATCCAGGATTGCTTTATGGTCCAACATGTTGACCATCCTACTAGGGAAAATAGGATACTGGACTCAGTTATCACAACGGAACCACCTCTCGTCGAAAATCTATAGTACTATGTACCAGAAAGTTGTGGACTTGTGGATATTCTGAATTTTTAGCTTATAGCCAGATACACCCTTTAAAATTTAACTGTCATCTACCCTTGATTCGAATGCTGCCATCGTAATGTGACATGTTTAATAACAATTTGTCTTAAAACAGGGGTTACACTAAATGCAATTACTGCTGCATCAAAATTCGGAGGAGATGTAACATGTCTGGTGGCTGGTGAGAAGACTGCATCAGTTGTAGAACAGCTCAGCAAAGTCAAGGGTGTGTCAAAAATACTTGTAGCTGAAAATGAAGCATTTAAGGTATGATTTCTTAACTGTGACTTTCATTATTTACATTCCAGTAATAAGCTTGTAAGAATGATATTTGTAAAAACAAGGTGTTTACATCTATAATGTGAATATATTATGCAACAGCTGTGGAGACTGGGATCATACTATAGATGTGAATATGTACTAAGTGAAATGATTTTATAACTAACGTACATTAGTCATACACAATTATATCAAAATATCAGTATGATAATAAGTTGAAAGTGGGGTTCTTATTTTTTATTTATTTAGGCAATTATCCATCATATACAATACATAGCATACTTTTACAATAAAATTCTGAATTCATAAAATTGGATAACTACCAAGGATATATACACAAAAAGCATGACTAGCACACTAAATTTTCTGTGGTGATTTCTCGAATTTCAATTACATGGGTAGTATTAATTAAATTATTATATATTGCATAGTAATGAAATTATAATTATATAATTATTAATAGTGAGTAGCAAGTTAATGGCTGCAAGTGCAAGGTAGAGTTTAGTCTTTTTAAGTAGACCTTAAGAATTTAGCCTTTAAGTTAGAAATAATAGTTTTATCATCGGTGCTCCAGATAGCAAGCAGTGATAATTAATATCCAGCACTTGAGAGGGTTTAATTCCTCTGTTGCTTTAATTTCATACACAGGGCATGTTGGCCGAGTCGATAGCACCGCTCGTCGTGTCCAGCCAGAATCAGTTCAAGTTCACTCACATTGTCGCCGCGGGTTCCGCCACCGGCAAGAACCTTATTCCGCGCGTAGCCGCCAAGCTCGACGTCTCGCCCATCTCCGACATCATCGGCATCGAGGACCATGAGACGTTTGTACGAACGATCTACGCCGGCAACGCGGTCACCACTGTCCGCTGCAAGGATGCCGTCAAGGTGCTCACCGTGAGAGGAACCTCGTTCGAGGCAGCAGAGACAGAAGGTGAGTGGCAAGAAACATAGGGCCGGTGACAAGAGTTGCCGGTGTTAGGGAGTCACAGGTGTCTGCGTTGAGTGAAGAAGTGTGAGCACTGGGCACTCGAATCTCATTCACGAAAGTTCGGTGATGGTCGTGATGTGAACTGGAACATTGTCATGGATTGTAACGTGAAGGTCAAAATTCATTTGTCAATCCCGTAATATGCGATGAAATGCTTACAGAGGAATTTTAGTATGGATGGCAATTAAATCACGTGCACATTAAAAATGTCCTGAAAAAAATGTTGCACAAATAGTCGAACTAATTCGTAATAGTCTTCGAGGTTGCAATAAGTGAATTCTCTGAGGTTTTTTTGCATTAAGGTGGCTCTGCTTCTTCTGAGCAGTTTGCGGGCGATGGTAGTAGTAATGAATTGAGCCAATGGGAGTCTGCGGACCTAAGTACAAGCGACCGGCCCGAGTTGACTTCTGCCAAGATCGTCATATCTGGAGGTCGTGGCATGAAGAACGGAGATAACTTCCAGCTGTTGTACACCCTTGCGGACAAGTGGGGAGCAGCAGTGGGAGCATCACGAGCAGCTGTCGACGCTGGCATGGTGCCAAACGACATGCAGGTGTGCAGACGTATCACAGTAGTTGTCTATAAAGCAGAAGAAACGTTGGGAATGTTTACCAAGAGAGCTATTATTTAGTGCTGTGCGCAAAGTTTAAACCCCATTAACAGCTCATTATAATTGAACGTGAAAGACGCTTGTGACATTGACATTGCTGTGCATCACCGGTAGGTTGGTCAAACGGGAAAGATCGTTGCACCAGAGTTGTATGTGGCTGTTGGCATCTCTGGAGCCATCCAGCACCTGGCAGGTATGAAGGATAGCAAGACTATTGTAGCCATCAACAAAGACCCCGAGGCACCCATCTTCCAGGTGAGTTTACTGACCCAGTACATTACCTACAGACCTACTCTATTGGATGCCATAATTATTCAGAAAAATGTTACGGTAAATGGGTAACACTGCTTGGGCCTTTATCATATTTTCAGTTTCATTATGTGTGGATTTATGTTACACTCAAACTCTGTGCAGCATGGTATTAATAGCAAAGAAATGGCAACCAGGCCAGTTTTAAAAATTGACTGTGTGGTTTTTATATTCAGCACTAATGCCACTGCTTCCCCTGTACGGTAAAGGTGCAACTTGCCATACATTTACTTGTGCATTTTCTCAGCAGTTATTTAGCAAATTGAGAATTAGTGTGGCAAATGTTACTGGGCTTAACAGCTTTGGAAATTATAATAGGGGCAGTTTTCTTCAATTTTACAGGTGAAATTTAGGGTAGGAAAAAAGCTGGGTAGGACTCTAGGAAGGTGGGGGGGGGGCTAATTGGCCAGAGGCCCATGTTATCAAGAGCGTATAAAGAAGGAGATCGTACAAAGGTGAAATGCTGAAACCATGTTGCAGTATTAGTCGAATTAAGAAACTTTCTCCGTTTTCTTTTGACGATTCTTTGCGGTATTATTGATCAGCTGTCCTACCTTGCTAATATAAAACAAACCGCTTGTCCCTACGCTGAGATAATGAGCGGTGAAAATCTGGTATTTTTGCCGAAAACCGACTCGAGATCCCTGTTTGCTGTGACCCTTTCTCGCTTTGTGGCCAGTGTGTTGCTTCCGGTCGCCGCTGTGTAGCGCCATGGTAGCGCTGACTCATTACGTCAGTACTACAGAGTTTACTACATCCAGCGTGAGGTGGGCACAGGTGGGGGGGTCATCACTATGGCAATCAATAACAGACGTCATTCATTCCCTTTGTCAATCATTGACGGAAACACGCGAGGTTTCCCGAAGTTATCTCAAAGCGAGAGACAGTCGCAGTCAGCAGGTATCTCGAGTCGGTTTTCGGCGAAAATACCAGATTTTCACTGCTCGTTATCTCAGCGTAGGGACATCGTAGGGACATGCGGGTTGTTTTATATTAACAAGGTAGGACAGCTGATCAATAATACTGCAAAGAATCGTCAAAATAAAACGGGGAAAGTTTATTAATTCGACTAATACTGCAACATGGTTTCAGCATTTCACCGTTGTATGCTCTCCTTCTTTATACGCTCTTGATGTTATATATTCTACTTCGTAATCAAATCTTGCAGGTGGCTGATCTCGGCTTGGTTGCAGACCTCTTCAAAGCAATTCCGGAGATGACAGAACTTTGTAACAAGTAGGAACTATTAAAGATGACACCATTTTCTAACAAAAATGTTCATCACAAATTTTTTTGCATGATCTATCGAGAGCTAGTTGTTACAAGTAAAGAAAATTTGAAAGATATTCAGAAAACAGGACTTGTAATGTGTAAAATTACAAGACAATTGGTGCAAGACCTTCAAAAAGTTCATTAGTGGGTTTATACAAGCTCCTGTTCTGTGATTGTGGCCACTCTGATATTTCAGATCGTTTAAAGTGTTAGAATGTTGTTATGTTATATCTTTGTATGTATTTACTGTCTGAGATGGCATAAGCCTGCTGTCTATTTATGAAACATGCACACAAAGTAAAACTAATAGCAACATTTCTTGTGGGTGTGATTTGGTAAACAGGAGAGCCAGCAAGCTGTAGTGTAATGTGAAAACGTAATGTAATACTATTAAAAATAAAAACGTTTATCCTATGTATTAGCACTAAATTTTTATCTTGAGATGTTGCAAGTACTGATGACACCCATGGTATTGTATAGCTGTTCCCTTTATTGAACAAAAATGGAGGTCAGAAGTTCAGAACTCAGAAGGTAATCGTGGTGTTATCCATATTGACAGTTATTTATCTAATAAGACAACATTCAAGGGTGATATGTTCAATGTTATCTTGCAAAGTAATACAGTACAATATATAGTTAGATCAGATTTTTAATAATCAGAGGTGCACTCGGGTTGACTTTTGTACCCCAGTACTACCAATTTTCTGATAGTACAGTTAACATTTATGCCACAAAGCAACACAGTATAGCCTCGCAACTGTTATCATGACCAAATTCGAATAGTTGCGTCATGGCTGGCAGAGACGAGGTATGCTCCAGCCAGCCTGTCAAACAGCACAGAGTTCACCGAGTCCTCGTGATTGTGCAACGTGTCCACCTGGCAAGTGTAAAAAGCCATTGTGGAAATCGGCAAGCTGCAGTTAGATTTAAATACCACAACACAATTAGAGACACCATCAAGGCATCAACACCTTAGCTTATGACGCACATTTAAACAGACGACTGCCAACATCAAAGACATACCTTTCCTGTTGCGATGTGGTACATCTTAATGGTTCCATCGTTGCTTGCTACAGCCAAGACAGAACCTGTACGAATATGTGTTAAATAACTTTGAGCTGATCGGTTAGAGCACATGTAATCCATAGCACAAGAATTGCAAAAGAATTTTGTGAGGTTTCAGTGAGCTATTTGTTTTACACGTACTGCGGCATTGGAAATTGCTGAGCACTATGATGGGCACTCGCACGCATGCATGCACATGCACATCACTTCATAACGACTCACCAGATGGGTCAAATGCTACATGATTAGCTGGATGGGGTCCAACATCAACTGTTGCCATAGCACTTGCAGTTCTCACATCCCATAACTTTACCACACCATAAGAGTCACAAGAGGCCAAAGTGTCTCCTTTCAGAGAAAATGTCACATGGTTGCATGAGTGAAAGTGACCATAAAACGTTTGTGCACAGATTCCCTGAAATGGCAAAGTGCATCCAGTGAGTTCACCTTATAAACGTAGGCATTAGTACACAGTGATGACGCAGGCACGTAACACAATTACACTATTGTTATTGCATGTGATAAAAGAACTGTGTAAACTCTTACTGTCCTAGCATCCCAGAGAGAGATTGTTTTGTCAGCAGAGCACGTGCACACAATATTGGAGTAGGGAAGAAACGTTATGCCATTGACAGAATCGGCATGTCCACGTAACGTGCTACGGCATCTTTCACTGAAAAATTATTGTAGAAGCATGTGTTGCCAATCGTCAAATCACTATTGACTTATCAGTCAGCCTAATCACTATCGTGAACCTATATATCATCGAAACAATAATATTAAATATACACACTTCATCTTTATATCCGATACATAACAACAAGAAATTTAGTCTTACTCATTAACAATCTTCAACTATTACAATATAAGTGGATGGGAGATATAAGAATTTATTAGTAATTAATTTTCCCCAATTGTTTAAAACAAATTAAAACAAATTAATCAAGAACAATTACCGCATTGTATCTCTTTCTGAAATTACATTGGTCCCCAGGTTTCAACTCATATTAGCGAACAGTACTTTTAGATCTTTCATAAGTGAAATGATGTAAATAAGGTAGAGGTAGATACTTATTAATGTCCCAGATCTTAGCTGTGTTATCCATGGAGCAGCTTATTAGGACATCACCACCACAGTGCCACTCACAACTCCATACTGAAACAGATTTTATACAGACAATAATGCATAAACAGGAATGTTTATGAAACAATTTTTATACATAAAAATTTTAACATGAAGATGTACTACGTATTACACTTCCTGTCAAGTGTGTTAGTTTCCAATCTCATGACCAACCTTTCCTATTAGTGATGTACTTCTACCCTAATTAAACGAAATTAAATATAACCTGGTTGAGTATGGTCAGTAAACTGGAGTATGTAATCTTGTCTACTAATGTCCCATATCTTCACCGTCGAATCTCCACTTGATGTAGCTATCATGGTACCCCTAAAACAAATGCAAGTGCCTTGTACCACAAAAATGCATATTATTGCTCTAATTTGGGATTTGTTAAAAATTGATCTTATATATACTTAAAATTCATTATTTTATATCTAATACGATGATTCTGTGCAATTATTGCTCAGTTGTTGGGCAACATAGTTGCGTGGACCATGAATGTCAATGTATGTTCCCTTGCAACAATTCAATAATTGTTTTATTTATAAATCGGCAGTAAATAATCACATGGTAGGACCCTAGACCTTTAATTAAGCTGCCAAATAGTTTTTCACGATTACATCGTTTTACATGATTATAATCCAGAGAAATAGATTGAAATCTAGGGCATTTATACGAACTAGTAATGGCCTTGCATTTTATCAACAAACTGAGTCGCAAAATTTGGAAATTCACAAGGAATTTTGGATTAGGGTACACATATCATTACTAATTTGGCCAAATTGATCTGATATACTCTCCTCGTCCACTAGTGCAAACCTAAAACCGTGTTTCTACTAGAACTTCTAGTGTAAATATAATGATGCAGTGTTGGTGGTAACACTGCTCACCGGATTTTTTATGGGCAATATTAGGTTTTACTTCATGGCACACGTCACGGCACATGGTCTGCACCAATTATAATAAGGTGAGTTTTGAAAAGTTTTTTTTTGCAGCCATATAACAAATTAAGTACTTTGGCTGTGGAACTTTATAATGTATAATACATTAAGAAGTGATACATGAGTATGTAAATTAGTATTTAAAACAGTAATCATTGTTCAATAATGTAACATTCTATCATCTTAGCCAGCAGATGACCCATATAGCTACCACGTGTGATTAACTACAGATAATCCCACCAATATTAGAAAAAGTAGGCATCATGTATGCAAGTTATATCACTCATACTCTGGGTTAAAATCAACATCGGAGATCCAGTCTGAATGGCCCTCTCCAGTCATGATGTGCTGACCATCTGGTAACGACCACAGCATCCAGCTCTGATCATCGCTAACTGTAGCAAGAACTTGCTCCTTGGGGTGAAGTGCGATTCTAAGGAAAGCAAAGGAACATCGTTGTTGTGCATTTCTAAAATGTACGAACGGTAGCTACATGATGATGCCTGGTTCAAACACGTGTATAGTTCATACCAATAGAATAATAAAGATATTTGAATTATATGGTCACATGGCACTGAAACTAAGAGAACTGCGATGCCCATATTATACAGCGTCATATAAATTGCAGGTGTTATTATTCTAGCTTCACCACATCCCATTACATAGATATGATGTGCAATCACCATTATTGTATGTTTTGCTTCTGACATATGGAATATTACATAGTGTATTGTGTTTGTTCAAACATAATCATAAATGTCGCAAAGGGAGCCAATCTCACCCACTAATTGCCACTTTGTGTGCCTGTATTGTCTTATTAGGTCTAAAGCCTTCTGCAGTTGATAGGTTAGGAGCTGGATGAATATCACGATGTTGGTGAGGGTTGATCACATCTTTCAGAAATTGCACAACCTAAAATAGTCAAGCTATACATAGTTATCACAACAGTCACACAATGCTGTTGATTTAAGAAAGAAGAAATAATAAATATCTAGATTCAGAAGTTAATTGAAAAAATAGCACACAATCCTAACACTTCGATGCCTGTGTTACATTTTGCATATTAGTTATGTTAAAAATTTCATTGTTCATGTAAAAAGCTCACCATATATTACCTGATGATACCTGGTAAGATACATGGCTATACAGATATTTCCATTCATCATCACCTCTGGCATAATACTTACATTAGGTTCACACTTTGATGGAGATTTCTCCTGTGCCCTTTTCACATGCTGACTCCGTGTAGTCTGGCCTATAGGCATCAAGTAGTGTGGAATACAACTCTCGTCTTTTGTGTCTACAAAGATGGTTATGTAAAATCATCAATGGCATGAACTTGTTGCAGATTAATTTTAGAAAGGTTACTGATGTTGCATTGTAGATTGCTTTCCTTCCAAGTTATAATAATGCAGATAAAAAATGTTATATTCAAAATTAACTGTACATTTACAAATATGCAGATACCAAATTCTATATTGCTTGCATCAAATATTCCCATGGAATTTTGCAAACTTGTGATGTGGCTAAGGGTTTTCTCTAACTCCAACTTTGTGAGCGTTTTCTCCTTCATAGCGGCTTCATACTTTTTTTTCATTTCTTGTATGCTTGGTTCATAAGTAGAACAATGCTTTTTCAGTCTGTAGGATAACAATAAGGACCTCCATAACTGAACTACGAAACACGTACATGCCATAGCTCAGTGTGTTGCGGTGAAAAAAAAGAAGGTAGTGTACAGTACCAGGCAGTACCATTTGCCAACCGTGACCATGCCAACCATTCGCCAACGTTGGCCCAACGTCATGCAGCCAACCATTTCCAACTAGCATCATGCCAACCATACGCCAACGTCATGCAGCCAACTACTTGCCAACGTTGGACCAACGTCATATTGCCAACCACATGCCAACCATGACCGTGCCAGCGTTGGCCCAACGTTGGCCCACCGTCATATTGCCAACCATGACTGTGCCAACCAAATGCCAACGTTGGCCCAACGTAAGCATGCTATCTGGGAAGTTATTAGCATAGATGGTGAGATCATTTGTACAGTAACGTATTGTACCTCTGTATCTCAGCAACAAGTCTTTCTTTATTTTGTTCCAAGCGCTTGTGGTGCATACGGCTGTAATCTCTCTCTTTTCGCAGCTTAACACATTCCTCCTGAGCTTTGCTAGCAATTATTAATCACACACGCATAAATGACAGGCTTATTTTTCACAATTGATCACAATGAAAAATCACAATTGATTTTCGATGCAATATTACCTATATAATATTTCATTGAACCTACTTTTGACAATTTTTTTTATCAAATGCCAACTATACATACAGCAAGTATCAGTAAATTAATTATGCATACGAGCATGTTACTTGTGATCGCTGTAACTCCTTGCTGATATGCTGTAACTGTTCGTGCAGCAACTGGTTTTGGTGATAGGCATCTGGTACTGAGGTCAGTTCCTCTTTTGGAATATTTCCTCTACTCTGAAACTCGTACCTACATTAAATACATGAACCAAGCCACATATAAGTAAGCTAAAAATGTTATGCTACAACTACAGAACTAATGTGTTGTAAACATTTGTCTGACATCATTATATGCTATTATCACCAGTTATATGATTGAGTTCTTATTACTTTACCACTCGGTTTGAAAGCAGCCTAGTGTCTTCTTCATTCCCATACGGTGCAGGAAGTTCCTCACATAGTCATCAACTACTTCAGGCATTCTTGACACAGAGCTGATGGGTACCTTAGAGGAGTTATTAATATTAATGTAATCTAACTCTGTTTTCAGTTTGAAACTCCTCTTTAATTATACGCCCTAAAGAACTTGGGATAAGCTACATGGTTAAATATCCAAAGTTGAAACGTGTTTAAACTATGATAGTGTAATTTAAGCATCATTACACTTGGTTGAGACTTTTCTGACGGATGCCGATATGTGCGAATAGATGAATCTATGGTTTCCTCGCCTAGAAATAAAAACATTAAAATTGCATTGAATTTGAAAGCTATGATTACAAATTTTAAACAACATCACAACTATCTATATATTTGTAGTATTCAATTAATTACTATAATTTTATGTTGAATTTGAAAACCTGTCTCGGGAATATTGTCTCCAGCCAAACGCTCTCCATATAAGAAATCATCATCAGTGTCAAGCACAACTTCATGCTCTAAAAGTAAAAGAGAAAGAGCCACTATATAGAAAATTAATTCTAGGAACTACTCTTGTTGGGTTACATTATTGTATCTAGGGTCTATATGACCTGCCTGGAGATCAGGCCGCTCGACTCAAACTACATGCAGACTGCCTACTGATTATATGATTACGCTCTACACATAATAAAACGCGCAACAATTATAACACAATAATAACATAATAACACAATAATAACAACAATAATAACATGCGCAACAAAAAATGGCGGTTTGCAACCGCGTGCAACCTGCCCACCCCTCCACTTGGAAATACATTGTGCCCGCTCACTAGCGAAAAATGGCGGTTACAAGTTGGTAAATAATCTTCGTCGACGAGTAATATATAAATAGCAAGTACAACATTTAACCGTTAGTTTGCGGTTTAATTTTAGTGTTTGTAGTAACTTAAGACATTTGTGCGGCAGAGAATGTGCTTTATTTGGCGTACCGAAGAAGTTATTAAACGCAAAAACTTGTCTTTGCTTACTACCTGGAAATTGCCATAGTATGTTCTATAACCCTGCGGCGGAGCGGAGGGCTGTATAGTTCTAGAGCTAAGCCTAAGCCTAAGGCCTACTATTACTAAGCCTACTGTCGCTGATAAGGTCTATGTTCCCCAGAGTACTGCCGGAACGTACCCTGGGTACGGTCCGGTATACCGGAACGTACCCTGGTACTAAATACTACTATCTAATATGCCGGACCGTACCTAGTCCGAGCCAACGCAGACCCCAGTAATAGGGTCTGCGGCTGTGTCTATCTCAATCACGGAAAGCCACCTCCAGTTTGGAGGTGGCACTTATAAGTAATATATGCGCCTGATATATACAATCCTATTGCATGGAACTTACTTTAATCTGAACTTGAATCATTTATCTACATGTATGCACGCTATGATGTCCTGGTAGCGGCCACAACATAACAATATATCAAGTTGTTAACCTAATGGTAAATATAAACATCCAAAGAAAATTGTCTGTCTTCATTCACATTTGTCAACCAATGAAAATCACTTCCGGTTACTTCGGCTATTCCCGATGTTCAACAGGAAACATGGTAGGTAGTCCGCGCCAGTCAGCCTTAATTATTTCCGAGTGAACTCAAAACTACCGGAAATGAATTTCATTGGCCGATCGAAAAATCAGTCTAATAAGGCCAAAAATATCGAAGTTACTCTTACTAGGGCTCATAGGGTCTATGTCCCCCAGGGTACTGCCGGAACGTACCCTGGTCACTATTTGATATGGTTAGGGTTAGGATTAGGGTTAGGATTAGGGTTAGGGTTAGGATTAGGGTTAGGGTTCGGGTTAGGGAGTAGGCGTAAGCGACTCCCTAGACTCGTTAGTGGAGTAGGCCAGGTACGGTTCGGCATCTCAGCCTTACTAGGATGAATTATTGCATGAAAACAAAGTTCTGAAACGGAGATAAAGTCTTCGGAAAGCGATATTGACAAACAGAAGGTCTGTAGACTGTACTTGATATTTTGGGTCAAATATACCCCCGTCACACCCTCGCCTCAGTGCTACTCCGTACTCGATTCACCTATCCAATGCCCACAACAAAAATTGCAACAATTTTTACAAGGGTGACTGCAGACAATAAACCCGCACCCTCAGATTAGCAAAGCGGAGTTATAACGTCTGCATTTGCGGACTAAGTATGACTATGTATGACTATATGTCTATGACTATGACTATGAGTATGACTGAACATGGCTCTAGGCTCTAGTAGTAGTACTATAGCCCGCGTTCGATTAACTGCCGCACGTTAATCACCTGCGGCAGTTAATCGAACGCGGGCTATAGTACTAGAGCTAGACTGAGCAGTGACACTGTCAGTGTCAGTGTCAGTAGACAGTACTGTACAGTGACTGTACTGTACACAGGTGACAGTAGGCCTACTGTACAGTGTACTACCGTCGTACCGAGTACTGACTAGTGTCATACACAATATACCTACAAACTGACAAAGTGCAAGTTATTACATTCATGCGTTGCACTTTTTGCAGACATGACCATTATAATATTAATAATGATAGCTTCCATACTTTCTAAAGAGTATAACTCTGGCTGCTTTTTATTTGTGAAGTCCCGTGTAGCAGCCATACTACCACAACCTAGACGTTGTCATGGTATCCAATGATAACCAATTGCAGCTGAACAAGTGTACAGTCATTACACCACTGGCGCCGTCTTTTGTTGGAACCATGGAACTCTTGCGCATGGGCATTACTGTTCTGTTACTGTTATCTGCGCACTACGTTTTCTCTCTGTGGCGTCTGTTTCTTTTACAGTTTAAGTTGCTGTCTCTTGCACAAACGTTTTATATTATATTAATTCTTTTCATATATTGAAAGAGGTAGGTGTATTTTATTGTTTTAGGGTTGCTTTTGTATGGTTACCTATACTACTTACTACTATCTTGGCTACTTTCTACGTGCTCGTGCTGTGCCGGCATTTTGAGGTGCTGTTCATGCCAAGGTTCATGCCAAACATGGCGACGCGCTTTTGTAGTAATGCGCTAAAGTAACCCCTAGTAGACTTTGTCTCTTCACAGATTAAGTGTAATATTGCACGCGCGATCTGCGAAATAGGTATAAACACATCTAATACATGATACTTGTACAAATTATGTATCAAATATGTTCAAATGTAGTTTTAAAAACAAAATGACCGTAATTACGCGTATTGATTTTCTTGACGCGTTGTAGGTGCTTCGGTTACTAGTTCTTTGTGTGAGTTAGGAGTGCCGAGTGCGTTACATTTCTGGCATTTTGTAAGTAATTTGTATAGTCTATAGATGTACGCAGCTATATAATAATTAATTTTCTTCCATGTGTATTCCCTGACGCACTGATTTCACGCGCAGTATTTTAAGTAATGATAAATCGGTTGCGATTAGAATCTAGTGAACATTTGAATGTCAGAATGATGTGCCTGACGGTGTCCGTTAACGTTGTATCTTGTATTGTAAATTGTATTGTATCTTGTATCTTGGCTCCCTGTCTTGAGTCTTGTATTTCACAAGGCACTCGATTACATCGAAGTGCGGGGATTATCTAGAGAAACAGAAGATTATTACCGCCTCTAATTCTCTAAATATTACTATTAACTAGTGAGTAGTGTTTCGAAACACCAGAATTTTCCGCACATAAACTAACTCTGGACTAGCTCTAGTACTATAGCCGCTTACATTAACTGCCGCTGGGCTATAGACCGACCCATGGGGCATGCAATGGACCAACTTACTCCAGCCAGTCAGCGGGAACTATGTATTTCCGCATGTGGAGGGGTGGGCGGGTTGTGTTGGTTGTGGACAAAAACATTGTTGTTGTTAAGTAACAAATTAATAATAGTAATTTGTTCATCTTTCATGACAAAACTAATATTACAATCTCTTTTGATCGCTTAATTTGTTACTTGACAACAACAATGTTTTTGTCCACAACCACCCCAACCCGTCCACCCCTCCACACGCGGAAATACATAGTTCCCGCTGACTGGCGCTGCTGCAGCGCCGCCAGAAATGGCCGTTTGAAGTTCGCAAATCGAATGTTTGTTCACAAGAAATACCGCAAGTATACCATTGCAACGATAGTTAGAGGTTCAATTTTAGTAGCGGCTATAACTTAAGACATATTCACTTCGGATAAGAGGCATTAATTGCCTACCACAGACGTTTTTTAGCCAGATATAATCGGGGATAAGTTGGTCTATTGCATGCCCCATGGGTCGGTCTATAGCCCAGCGGCAGTTAATGTAAGCGGCTATAGTACTAGAGCTAACTCTGGACTAGCTCCAAGAAACGGTATTGCTAGGGTTAGAATAGCTCCAAGAAACGGTATTGCTAGGGTTACAATACCGTTTCAAACCTTGGCTGCAGCTAAACACGTAGTTGCCTTATTTTCCAAGTATCGCCAAAGAACACCACACATGTGATATACCAAATGAATCGGTAAACGTCCACCTTCTTGTAACCATCAGTGCGCTAGGATGCGCTGGGTACTTACGGGGTTACAGCGACTTTTTGAGACGAAAACAGAATTCATGAATTCGCCGCCATGTTTGCTATCATTCCGACTGTGACTAAAATTTGCAATGGATCGAACAAGCGAAATTAAACGATCTGCGGTCCTCATGTAAACCACCCCTACATCCGAGAACATGTCATCAAAGGTTTTTACAAATGGCCCAGACATTTGTGAACATCGTTTCACTTGCTTTGGTGTGTAATTGCCGTGAGAGCCATCGTGCAGCTATTGTACTATTTCTGTAGTATTTTCTAGCGAGTCTTTTCTGTTTCGGGTTTTCCGTGCCTCGCTAAACATGGCGGGTAAAGCTGATTGGAAAGTTGATATGCTGTGAGAATTAGCAGATTATACCGTGAATTAAGAGATACATTCTAGTTTAGAAGCAGGACAACTGTGAGTTAACGTTTATATTTCAAACAAGGCAAGTCAAAGGTGGTAATAGAATAGTTTTATTTGAGATATACAGAGTTATTCATCTAGATCTGCAGAGGTTTTTTGTATGGAAGGGTGTCAGGCTGTATAGACAATCCGTCGCACAGCCTGGTTGGGCTAGACGTGATGCGGCCATGATGCGGCCATGATGCCGAGGCACGCAGAGGATTGACACTGTGTCTTCCAATCACAGCCTATGCTGCACCTCTCTATAATATTTTCAAATGTGGGGACCCATTACAGTACCAAATCGCCGATCTCAGGAACTAGGGCATTCTGCTAGGCTAGAACGGTTTCCTACGATAGTTTGGCACGAAAACGAAAATAACGCTCTTTAGCGCTCTGCGCTACGTCCTGTTGCATTTTCGCATCTCCGTAATCAGAATAAGGCCCGCCTTCTTCGTTGATGGGCAGGAATGGGGTGTCACCGATGTGACCGGTTCCTTTCCCCAGCCTGTTTACTTTTTGTAGATAATAAAATGCCCGGCCGATGCATTTCACATCAAACAGGAAAATTTTCTGCATTTTCACTCGCTGTCGGAAATGAACGAGTGCGTCATTCATTGAACAATTCAATAAAACACACACAATGTTCGGAGCTAATGTTTACATGCCACAGCGCCATCTCTTGGATGTTTTATAAGTAAATATGGGGATTTTCAATAAAATAATGCGTTTTTATATGTATTTACCACGATTTACGTATAGAAACTATATTTTATATTTACTGATTTCTCCGTATCTTTCCTTGGAGTTTTCATCGTCTTTCAATGCCTTTCGGTAGGTTTTCTGCGTGATTATTATTTTGCGCAGGCGCTCATTTTGGAAATCCTCCAATATTTTTACTTCTTCCTTAGGCCAACCAAAAAATTACCTTTGGTTTGGGTCACCCGCCCGCACTTCACATTTCGGAGTGAAAAATGTGCGACTGCGGTCACTTTTAGAGGGTTTCAAGAAAAAATAGAATTCAAAGATGCCGCCTGCCGATCATACATATTCAAATATCCGACCCTTGTCATTTTATTTACCTAAACAGAGTTCCAAAATATTTTTCCTACAACGTGAAACAGTCGTATAGAGCCTGGGCCGGCTACTTCATAAACAGAGCCTGAAGGTCGTATGGCGCGGCGGCCGGCTTTGATGTACGCGATCGATCGCGTACTATATAGTATACGCATGCCAGTGCTCGAAATAAGCGTTGTCCGGTTGTCCGAGACAACCAGAATTTGCGCCGGGACAACCTAACCAGTCTGAGACATTGTCCGCGTGGACAACCAAGTAAAAAAGGTGACGAAAAACGCACTTTATTTATGTTTTTCTCAGGGGTTCTCCAAGAGCACTTATAGGCCTGGCGGCCCGCCATTAATCTATGGTGTGGGAAAGCGCGCATACTAGCTGCTATTTCCAACACTGGTATATGTCAGGTTTTCTGATTTATGAGAGGTGAAGTCGATTTGGAGACCAGCAAACCAGCAAGTTCACCCTACATTTTGGTATTTTATTCCATTATTATTTTGAATTTTCCGATGGCTTTGCCATGCAAACAAACAACAGTGGGATTCATGTTGATCCGAAAGTTAAAAAAAAGAGAATTGTCGTAGGCAGAATGAAGGCTGTACATGTACTCAAAAGTGGCCCAATACCATCTCCTGCCATCTACATTTTCAAAAATTTTGTGGGGGAGAACCCCATAACCCCCGCTTGTTTTCACCCCCCGAAAGATCCTAGATCCGCACTGAACAATTACATATCTTGGGAGCAAGAGAAACAATGTAACAAAAATGTCGCACTTTTCGGTCGACACCCAAAACAAACGTTTTGCCCATGAGAAGGTAGAAGGAGCCGATAGGTCGTGTGGAGAGGGAGGTGGCAGGAGCATATAAATATTAAAAGGCCTCCTAGTGATGAAAATAGTTACATATATCAAAAGTACACTATGTTAGTGTACAACTACTGCAGACAATTTACAGGTTGATATGGTTTTCGAGCGTGTATGAAAAAAATATTTTTGATGTTACAATGTAAAGAATTTGCAAAACTGCGCTGGACAAACTAAGCCGCACAACTCCCGCCAGCTCGCCTGGAACGGCAAGAAGCCCCCCTAGATCTTTTCTCGCCAAGTGAGTTAGCCCTGTGACCGTTCAGGCTAGCACGCGCGTCTTGTACATGTTGCCAAGCGGTGTAACATGGAGACCTGAATGTGAACAGCGATTCAGAGTCCGTCTCTAGACTTGATCAGTTTACGTAGCTACGGAGATAAACAGTACAATCAGCAATTGAATAAAGATGAAATGAAGTACGATAATTAGAAATCGGACAGTGCTTAACCATCTGGTTCGAGCAGATAGTTGTATTCAAGCCTGCACGTACATGTTTGAACGCTTGCAACGATTCCGGCTAGCCACAGAGCTGTGCAGAGGATTGTTTATACACAGCGGACGGAAATGGATATTCTAATCCTGGCAATTACGATTTCTTGGAGCTTAACCAGCGCATAGTTTAAGGCAACCGTGCCAAGAACGCGGTGATGCCCTTGTGCCGTTCCAGTTGCCAGATGTTCAAGGCGAACGTCGGAACCATGCAGAAGCGATAGACTGCTGAATCGCTGAGTTATAGCACTGCTCGAGTATTTTTCATCATTGTAGTACTAGGCGGATGTACATAATCAGCGAGCGTACTAAGGACCTTACTGACCATTAATACGGCTCCTGACAATAAATTAGAAAGTTTTGCTTTTCAGGTACAAGCTAAATACGGCATAGCAGGTTTTTCTCCAACCAGATAATTCAACTGTTCAGATTTTCCCATTCTACAGTACTGTCTAAATTTTCTAAATTAGAAGTAGGCCTCAAGTATACAGTTAGGCCTTGATAAACTGAACCGAACACGCAAGCCTGACAAATCAGTCCAACATCAAGGTAAATCGTAATTTAGCGTACCAGGTAGTAAGAAATTATGAACCAGACTGTAATACGTAGATTTATGACACACATGATAATCAGTAACAATGTTGATTTCCACAGTATGTAATGTGCATTTCAGTACTTGTTAAATCGCTTAAGAAACTCAGTAGTATACAAGTCACGAGAATATATACATCATCATAATGCAGGTAATGTTTAACCCTGAGGGTCAGGCTGTCCTGTACGTAAAACTAACCGCGGGATCCACGAAAACAGGAAAGTAGCAACACACAAAGCTATTGCGTATCATGTGAGCAGGATTGGCATGAAGACTGAGTAAAGCAAGACTTGATCATGGTTGGAACCAGATTTTATTGTCCTGAGTATTAATGTGGTTTAAATTCCCGGTAGTAATTCTACAATGCATATCAATTACTAATATATATATATATGCATGCTACATGGATGAATTATTATTTTTTATTTTTATGATGGCACGTGGAATGTTTATGCCCAATATAAGTTACAGGAGAATAGCTCTTTGTGCTCACTTGCACTGAATGCAGGCTTTTGCTGTGCGCGACACACGCGGGGAAACCTAGCCTGGACGTAACAGGCCGTTTTCACACCTGGTGGCCGGTTTGGCAGACATTAAATTATTTTAACATTCATAGACCCCAACAATCAAGCACGTGCTTTAAAATATCACAGAGCACGCAACCACAATATTACGACACTGCTTTCGTTATTTACGTCCGGCTTCCCGATACTACCGCTTCAAATAATTGATAAACAATTTGACAGCTCTTAGAGATACTTCACTAATAGAAGCCTTTAAGTCATCCCACTATTTTTGACGGCAGCTGTGTGTTTTTGGCCCCCCCTTGGTTAACAAAATCTGGCCTACAACACTGTTTTGGGGCTGTTTTGTACCCATATTATATGTGATGACAAATAGGAGATATTTGGGATATATATTTTTTGGGCACAACCAGAAATTGTTGCGGACAACCCGATTTGATGCCTGGGTTGTCCCCGCAGGACAACCACATTTTTTTTTTTCTTATTTCGAGCACTGCATATGCTATCGTGCCGTATACCCCTGCTACACGTGGCGAATCGGCGGCAGCGCGTTCCACAGCGTGTCGCAGCAGAAATGGACATTCGATTCTGTGGCCTGTGTGAAAATCATCCCCACAAACGTCTGTTGATATTTTCTTCCACGTGTGGAAGATTGAACAGCGTCTGCGGAGTGGCCTGTGTAAAGTTCCACACTTTCTCTATAAACTTGAACGTGTTTTAATCGTGACATTTCGACGTGTTTTTACGTTGCTCTTCCTGTTTCGCCGTGAACACATGTGTGGTGAAGCTGTGTGTGTGCGTGTGTGTGTGTGTGTGTGACATTTTTCTTCTTCCTTTGGTTCAGGTTGTCCAAGTTTCACTATTTATTTTTAAGAAAGGCGGGTACGTAATACTCGTGATACGTATTGTATCGTGACCCTAGGTATCGATACACTCTATGGCAGCAGGGCGAAAAAATTATTTTTCAGGGGGCTATCTTTTCAAGCTCGCGTGCATGAAAATAGCACTCTAAAATTTGGTTTGCCTTGAACTCTATGCAAATTTACGGGGGCTCTTTTTGGCATTTCGGGGGCTAAATCGCCCCGATCCCCCGTGTATTTTTTTCCACTGACTTGCAGGATGATGACTGAAAACTCTCTGTAATTTGTGCATGGGTATGAAGATATTGGGTAAAAATGTTA